AGTAGTAACAGTAACAGTAGTAGTAGCAGTAGTAGTAGTAGTAGTAGTAGTAGGTAGTAGTAGTAGTAGTAGTAGTAGTAGTAGTAATAGTAGTAGTAGTAGTAGCAGTAGTAGTAGTAGTAGCAGTAGTAGTCCTTGTAGTCCTAGTAGTTCTAGTAGTCCCAGTAGTCTAGTAGTAGTAGCAGTAGTAGTAGTAGTCGTCGTCGTAGTAAGTAATAATAATTTAATAGTACTAGTAATTAGTAGTCGGAGTTGTAGGAGTAGTGGTACTAGTAGTAGTAGTCGTCGTCGTAGTAGTAGGAGGAGGAGGAGTAGCAGTCGCGAAGAGGTATCGAAGCCTAGCACGATTCTGTCCTCAGCTATGTTACTATACATTCGGATGAGAGCTTCGGAAGGCATGGCCTACCAAGCGGGCTCTGATCTTGGGAAGTCATGGACACCAAGTGAAGGCCCAAAGGTCCATGTCCCTCAATCTGACAAGCTCACTAAATCGGCGTTTGGCTCAAGAACCAAGTGACGAAGCACAACTAGCGATTTCTTCTGCCATAGCAAAGTGCGTGTAGCCCTTCTGCATAAACAGCAGCTGACCAGCAGCCGAAGAGTAAAAGAGTGGACAGCGCTTGCCTGCAAGGGAAACCTTTGTCATACCTATCGTGGGTCACAACTACTTACAAAACAACGCTCACGCAGAGGGGGAGAGGGGGTGAGGGGGAGAGGGAGGGCGGCGCGTTGGCTCAGGTTTGCACGCACAGACCTGGAAGGAAGGACGGAAGGAAGCAAGAGAGAAACAGAGAGAGAGAGAGAAAACTGTCGTGGTGTAGGCCTCCGGGCCAGGCGACCCACAAGGCCTCCACCCCTATCAAGCAAGAGAGAGTCTTCACTACTCAGCAGCTACACAGCCACGGTGCGCACTTTATGTTCCGGTTGAGGCGAGACAATCGACGAGGTAACAGTGCAGGGGGTGCTCCACCGCAACACTGCCGCGAAGCGGAAGGATCGCAGCTCGACGATCCCGACTCACATTTGCCAACCCCCATTCTGCATTCTACAGATCTGCAGGTATGCTTTCAGAAAGCGGCTTGTGACGGTTTGTGCAATGCTTGCCGATATGGAGAGCACCTACATCAGCCGTGCCAGAGCTTGTGGCATCACACAGAGGACATGTCCGCCATGTTGCCAACTCTGCACCGAGGTCTTTTCCGTGGCATTCTCCGGGCATGCATAAAGAAAGACCTATTGCCTGAGCGGTCGGACGAGGACCGGTTCACGCCAGCATACAAGCTTATAGGAGACCTGGATGCATATCAGTTAGTCCCACAGAGAGGATTGACGGACGGCTACTTTTAAGTTTTGCCTTACTACAGTATACATCTGGGACCAGCTCGTGTTAACCTGTCACATGTGGAATTGGACGCGCTGAATGACCTGAGGCTACACCTTGCCAGAGTGCAACTTTGTGCGAGAGCCGCGGCCGTGGCAGCTGCCAGGATGGAAGTCACCCTGGATGCTGAAGCGGCTCAACTTTGATCAGCTTCTCAACTGCTCGTTTTTGCGTTGGCAAACTCCCGCTCTTTTGCGAGGTGGGAGTGGGAAAAGTGGCGGAAGCTGACTGGACGCAAGTGAGAGCCCTGTCGAAGCGTGTGACTTCGAACTGCTCAGTGCATGAGCCATAAGCCATCTCATCAGTAAGAGCCTTCTCTAGGAGTTATCATCAAAAGACACCATGCATCGCATGCTTTCTGAGACGGAGACTTAAGCAACCCAGAGGCTGTGTGCATGCTGCTCCTGCAGCATGCGTATCCGAGACACAACAGCATCGATTGCTTGGTCTCACCTTCTGTCGCACACAGGGCCGCAAAGATCTACTCTTGCCTTGCTGACTGTCGCAAGTCTACACACAGGCATTCAACGTGATGGGAAGATGACGTCTCCACCATTGCAGGCAAGCAGCCTGGACGCCACGCCGCCCCTGCAGAATCTGCCAGGCTGCATTACCTTACCTCTCTTCCTGGATGCTCTCGCACCCACACCAGTGGTGTCAGTGACGTCGAGTGCTTCTGTCAACCCATGAAAGCCGAGCTGACTCGAGGCTTACAGCTCGGTGGCCTGCCAGGTTCCGGGACCTACTCGAAGCAGACTTGTTTGACTTTTGCCTATTTGCGATGCTTTGAGCCTACTGAGCCTTTTCTCAGGCTTCTAAGCTTGAAGTGTGTGCTGAGTGATTGGCATCGCAGCTAGCCACGGTCGACAGGCCTTCAGGGTTTGCAGCAGTCCTTGGGCTCTCATCTCAGAACCATCCAGACTCCTGCAAGACGGCACAAGACCCACCTCCCGAAGCACCTGTGCACTAGAGCTGGGTCATCGCAGGACGGTGCAGTTTGTGGCCGTTTGTTGTCACCTTGAAAGGGAAGCCCAAGCTTTGTCTTGACCGAGGGCTGGGACATCCCTGGAGCAGCGGGTTTCCACAGGCACCAGTACAGCTGAGAGCGACAGCACTTGCGACATAAGATGGTCGAAAGTTAACCGCTACGCGTAAACAGAGGGGGGAGATCAATAGAGGGAGGTGGCTGAGCGGGGGTCAGCGAACAAACAGAACTGTGAGGGGGGTCCAGCCAAGATTATCCAAAAAGAGAGCGGGTGGGAAGGGCAGTGGGGATGATGCGGAAGGGGACAGGACGGCGTGGGCGGAGCAATGGAAGCAACAGCGCGAAGAAAACTACTTGTACAGCAATGATACATACGCATACTAGTAGCAACAATGTAGCCATAATAGTACTAGTACTGCAGTAATCCAAATACTCGCAAAAATCGTCGTAACAGTAAGAACATTACATACAGTACCAATACTTAAGTTGCTGTGACCACCGGCGGGCGGGGCTGACGGCAGCCAGGACTCAGCTGAAGCGGGCACCCTCATTCTTGAGCCTTAAGCCGTAAACCAGTTGTAACTTAATTTGGGTTGCTGTAATACTGAAATAGACGATGATACTAGACTAAGCCTTCGTACAGGACGGCCCCCCCCCTTTTGCCCTGCCCCTAGCGCGCTATCACCGCCGGCGAAACATGCACGACACCTGCCCGCACCCCATGCGCGCGTTCCGCGTGCTCGCGATGCTCGCCGATGTTCTTTTGGGTTCTCCTGCAGGGAGCGGCACTACCATCCGCCCTACTGCTAAAGAAAGGTCAAGCCGCCTACGGCGTTTGCTCGACAGGGCGAGTCTGACGAGCCTCGATCCCAAAGCATTCATGCAACAGCAAATCGCAGTCCATCCGGCCCAGCACAGATGCCATTCGGCTTGAAGTCGAGTTGGGGGATTGTCCTGAGTGGTGTCGGGGGTCATGACCCAAGCAAGGCTCAAGACAAACAATATTTGTGGTAGCCATCCACAAGGAGGGGGAGGGTGGGCAGGGGGAGGGCCGACGTGGTGCCAGAGCGCATGAAACACCTGTTTTTTTTTTCTGTGTGGTTGGGCGGGGGGGACGGGGCGTTGCGACCAAAGCTGCGGGTCCAGCTTTTTGATGCCGACAAAGGGGGTCAGAGGAGTATAGTCCTACTAGTAGCACAAGAGGTAGGAGTTGCAGGAGGAGTAGTAGTGGTCGTGGCAGTGGCAGTAGCAGCAGTAGAAGAAGTAGAAGTCGCGTGACCGTCAATTGTAATCGTGATAGCGAGACTGATGCTAACAATAATATCACACAGCAATAGTAATGCCAATGTAACTGGTACTTTGTAATAGTAGCCGTAGTGGCAGCATTAGCAAAAGTAGCACTAGTCATGGTAGGCCCACGATTTACGCAAAACACGTGAGGATGTAACCGTCTGAAAAGAAAGGAGTAGAGGGCCGGGGCGAGGGAAGAGTGGGAAAAGAAGGTGCAAGGAGGAAAGATGAAGATGATGAGGAGGAGAATGAGATGCATGCATGCTAATGCAAACCTTTGCGAATGAAGTCGGTGAGAAGGGGGGAGCTTAAGCTTTGACGAGCAAGAGGAGCATCGGAGTGGGACTGGAGCGAGATTTCCAATATCCAAGATCTTCTGGGCTAGGAGCTTACTTAAGCTCTCGCTCTGTAAATGTATTCTAGATTGTTAGCAGACATATATCTTGATCGCCGTCACCTGGGAAATTGAGTTGAGGGATGAGAAGAATACAAAATCTGGACTCCGAAGCCTCGGCGGATGGTTTGCACCAGTCCTTGCATCATTGCAGATTGGCGCTGGAGCGGGGCTCGGCGGACTCGGTGCGCTGCTCCCCTAGTAAGTCAAGCCTCTGAGAAGCCCGGTCGGTGACCAATGCACTTGGTTCGGCGCATTTCGGCGCTGGCACATGCCCCTGTGGCTACAGAACGATGCGGGTGCGATCATCTGGCTTGCTCCTTGATAAGTTGAGGCCATACCCAGACCTTCACGATCTCCACAACTTGAGAGCAGATGTGGCCCGGCTCAACTAATCGAAGAAATGGTTCGCGTCAAGAGTCTTCGGCGGATTTTGTGTCTTCAGTGTTGCCAGACATCCTCCGCTAAGGCTGCGCAGCTACCCTTCGGAGGAGGATTGGTGATTGACTCAGCTTCAAGTGTCTGGGAGAGCCAGTCCACTTCTGCCGCTTCGGTGACGGCTTAGCTGAGGCAGGCACGAGCTTCCTGACCTGAGTACCGGACAGGACACCATACCAATCCAGTGTTCTTGGCAAGTCCGGGGCTTGAGCCGGGAGACGCGTCATACCAGGACTGCAGACATAGCAGCCACAGCTACGCTTTCTTCTTGTTGGTCTTTGCTTGGGGCAGGCATGCTAGCTCACTGCATGTAAGGCTTCTGGTTCCATCCTGGTTGACCGTCGAAGATTGTTGATGCAATCGCCGGTGCGCGTGGAGCAGCAGGTGTGCAGCATTGTAAAGCCCGTGTGGGCGAGACAAGTAGGCCGTTTTGCGTTGGACTGACTCCTTCGACTTTTAGTGAACTGAAGTGCAGCCGCTGTTCCTGACCGTCTTTGACGCTTCAGCTCTTGCTTTGGGAAGGTGATCCGCTGTGTGAATGCAGAGGGGAGCGGGGGGCGTATCCGCGAGCATTTAAATCTCACCGCACGTCAGACAACTTGCTGCTGGGGTGCAGTCGAGTGACATGAAGACTTACCCCGGTGTTCTCACAGTGTTTCACAGATGTAGGCGGTTCCGGGCAGATCGCATGGCCAATGGTTTTTGGGCCGCGCAAGATTACGTTTCATAAGATCATTAGATGGAGGCCCTACTAAGGGCTCGAGTAGTGCAGCACTCACCCAGCCCTACAGGCGATCTGTCCCGATGTCGTTTTGGCCGCCTCAAAACACCTGATGCAGAGCATCAGGTTTCAGAGCGCTTCCATCCCTGAGTGTAAGGGTCTGACTACGGTGTTTGTTCCGGTCAATTCCTTTTAGCAAGTTTTGTGCTTTGGAAAATGTCAACCAGTTACCGGTTAGATCGTTTGGAGCCGAGACTGGAAACGCTTGAGCAGACAAGGAGCAGTGTCAGATGTCCGGCTTCTTTGGACAGAAATGCTGATAGCGACCATATTTTGTCAAAAGTAATGAGCCTGTCTAAGTTTATTTGCGGGCCCGAGTCTTGGGGAGAGGTTTAAACGGCTGATGACGAGTTGCTGACTGACCTGCTTGTCGTGACATGTAATGTCGCGCGGCTATGCCAAGCTAGCTTGAAGTGAGATAGATTTGCGTACGTTTAGGTTCTTTGCTGGTGACACCGTCTCCAGACGGCACCATCGGCACCAGGGCGGCATGTGGCACAGCGTGGCACCACCATGGAGCTGGCGAAGCTTCCCCGTTGTGGTCCAGTGCAGGATGCAGAGCTGTTCAAGCCAACAGCACCTCTCCCTGTAGAATCTTGGAGAGAGGCACATCTGGATGTCGGAAGTGTTCCGTGTTGTTCTGGCCTCCATGCTTACGTATACGGCAATAAGACAGAAGTTTGAAAGTTGGAAAGTGCTTGTTCCATGTCACGACGAACAAGCTGCAACGCCTGACACGCAACGACGACATCAATTAGGATTCTGCTTGAATCGATTCAGCCGTCATCTGATCTCAGAGGTTGTGTGGTTAGAGTTTGGAGAAACCGTGCAGAGTCCCGTTGTGAGAGCGCTTGTTGGGACATGTTTCTTGCAGGCGAAAAACCTGAGGAGTGCTTATCTGGACAAACGTGCGCCTCTGACGTCCCACTCCCGTGAAATTTCTTCTGTGGTGGTCCATAATTCAGTCGGTCTGGCAGGAAGACCATTGTCCTGTCGCACCCGGCGTGGAAGGCCTCAGTAAACCATGCAAAGTGACCAAAAGTCGGGAGCTGGGGCGTCGGGCGATTTAGCACGTTCTGAAGTCAAAAGACACTTACATGAGTTCCGCGAGTCTGAAACCGAAAGCCATCCCACCTTAACCAATTATGTTTTTTCTTGCTGGCGTGGCGAATGATGGCGAATGCAGGGTAGCCAGGACACTAGTTCTAGAGGTGGGAATGGCCGAATGGCCGTACATAATTGCTGCATGCCCTTGCACATGCTGGCACAGACGGGGCTGGTGTAGTCTTCCGCAAGGCTTGAGGCGATCACCCTGGACAAAGGATGCCGTGAAGTGCCGCAAATATGATGTACATGTTCTAGGTTAAGTTTACGTGTTTCGGCAGTGCATGGTTCTTGTTCTTGTCTTTCGCCGCTTCCAGTGTCCAAGGGCCTCCCTCGTGCAGGGCAGCACTGCCGAAGCCAAGGGTGCCGGATCCCTGCAGAGCCGTTTCAGCACCAGGTCAGCCGTGGTCAGCCCTGCTACACCAACGGGGTGACTTGTTTCTTGGTCGGGGTTCCCATCGAGAGGTTTCAGCAACAGGCCGCCCGAGGACAAGGAACACAACTACTGCACTGCAAGTCATGTTGAATTCGTGAAGCAAACTTGAGTAAGTGCTACGGGACATGAAGGGCATCTCTACTCAGTTGCTGCAGCTTCGCTTGATGCGGTGATAGCGGGCCTTTCAGCCGAATGTGCTCGACGAACCCATGTGCTTCCTTCCGGCTACTCAGAGGTGGATGCCACAAGCTTGGCCGCCTCGCAGTCTGCCGTATTTGAAGAAGTCCTTTCCTCCGCATTCAGTCATATAGTCACTTTGGTCCAGGATGCCAAGCTTTCACCTTGAGCCTTTTCGTCCTTGTTGTTTTGTGTGCGGAGGGCCGATCGATTTCCAAAGATCACTTGGCTTCCATCGATTATTATTCAGCTACTGCAGCAATTGTCCGACAGAGAGGATTGCCGTGCAAAGAAAATCAGGTTCAAGGATGCTGATGATGCTGTAATGGTTGAGGCTGCAGCAGTGACTTCTGCCGAGCTTATAAGGCACAGTCACAGTCCCGCAATGGTCGGATTCACGGACATCAGTATGAGGAGGAGTACAGATTGCAATCAGCTCAATGGAAGACTGTATCCGCCGACGACCGGCAAGGTTTGTCGAAACATGCGCAAACTGTGGCACACTGCAAAGATAAAACACGCTGCATTTGTTTGTCCCTTGGGCCCAAGCAAGGAGCTTTCTCGCACTGAGACAGCGTCCTCCCCCGCATCACATGCTCTCACGAGTCGAACGCGAGGTACTTCCCATCAACCTGGACAGCCAATACTGCAGCAAGCATGCACGTTGCAACTGTTTAGATTCCCGCAAATTGCATATTTGCACAGTGGGTGCCCGGCCCTGCGACTGTTGCGCTGAGAGTAGAGACAAACAGCTTTTGAGACCATGGCAAGCAGTCTGGGCCTCAGAAGCTCCGGACGCAAACCCGTGATGACTTTGTCGGGTCGAAGTGCTTTGCCGATGTAAGATGTGTAAAGCATATGCGAGAAAGACTAGGTTTTGTTCTAAAATCTCGAGATGGCATTCGAAGGTTTATGCGCATTGGTCCGCTCATTTGGTTGAGCAAGTGCACAGCTACGTGTCCTTTTGCATCTTGCCACTGCCGCTAGTGTAGCCTCCGTGCGCTTGGAGCAAACTATCCAGTGAGCACGAGGTGAAGAGGTCCCTGCGGCGACTCCAGAGTGTGCTGCTTAGACAGGACGACGTTGGAGAAGCATGCTATGTCTTCACGTTCCCGGTGCGGTGCCGTCTACACTGTTCTACTTAATCGAATGCCAGGCCTCTCGAAACATGTCGCATGGCAGCTGAAGTGCTGCAGTCCCTAGCAGCGTCTTCACTGAGGGCCCTCGAGGGAGGAGAGGACCAGGCCAGTGTTGGACCGTGTCGTTTGGAAGCGTCGCTCGCTTCCGCCTGCTCAGCCGCAGGATAAGAAGGACAAACAACCTGGCGGCCTCGAGCCTAATCTGATCGCTGCCTTCCTACGTTCATAGCATGCTTTCGCGAAAGTGCCGTGGCCCAGCTTCAGGTCCGACCCTGCCTCGCGAACGCATTTCTACACACCAACATCTCGGACAGGCGGATTCCATTTGCGATCTTTGTGTTCGTGCCAATGCTCCGGCCCGGCTGCAGGTCTTGGACTGGCGAGCACGGCCCTGAGCTGCAGGGGTTGACGCATGTCGAGGAAGACTCGGTGCGCCCAGAACTTGAGAAGCGCAGATCACCGATGGCCACAATGCTGCGCAGGGCAACTACGGCTGGATCATGCCTATGGAACCTATTCGTCATCCCAAGGCCACCGTTCAGAAGTCTAGATTGCAGGAGGAGTAAGGGAGGATAAGGGAGGAAGTGTACGTCGATGCTCTGTCCTGGATGATCCTGGATGGCCAGTGACGGCTAGTCTTGAGCTGCTCGAGCTGCGGCTTTATGGTGATCATGCCCGTCCGAAGCATGACCCTACGGGATCCAACGACAGCATGCTAATGGCATATTGTTTGTGGCTGCAGTTGCTCCGCTGGCCCCTATCATCCGACTTTCAAATGCTGAGACCTCATGTGGCTTGTCCGACTTGTGAGAGCATAACGGCATATTCCTGTTGCGACCGGATTGAAGAGGCAATACTTGCAAGCATGTAGAGTCAAGATTTCCATGTGCCCTTCTGGCCGAGACGCATTACACAATCCGCTTCGCAGGCTTCTATGAGGCAAGGGCGAATCTTCATCAGCCGGACTGACCTTGCCCGAAAACTCGGACAAGTGCGGTGTCCTTTCAGTCCAATCTGAGTGATCACTCCTTTTGAAAACGGTTTTGCGCTGTAGCCTCATCACTAAATCTACCGGTATAGCCTGTGGTCCTGCAGTCCTGCAGCTGCAACTGCGATTGCGATCGGTGACCTTAGACACATGGCGCAAAGCCAAGGCCAATGCAAAAGATTTGATGCCCGGTACCTTCGTGCAGTTCCAGATCTTCGAGGACTGCCCATGCTTCCAACTCGCGAGAGCCTGCTGAAAGTCCTCAGCGCCGAAAGGCTGAATATGTGGCTTTGTTTCCTGGAGATCAGTTTCGCATCCTGCTGGTACAGAAGTCCGTCGCATGTATTGCATGCTTCCATCGCGCCGTGTCACTTAAAGCACAAGAGCAGCCACCCTCAGGACGAGCAGGGCTTGGGAGCAGAGAAGTGTTACGTTTGGAAAGGCCTGTCAGTGGGCTACAGTGAGCAGGAGTTCGTAGCGGATTGCTGGACCTTCCATCGCGATTTTAGTGTATTACCCAGAATATCCCCAATTTTTCTGCGGCTTCACTACGGGCTGGCCCCGAGTTTGGAAGAAGCTGCGAGACTGGATGCTGTTGAAAGCCACTTCCGACATGCCATCAGGCCCACCGAATTTCATGTTCTTCAAGGGCAAGGGAAAGGGCACCAGCCTTAGAGCGATTTCGGCTTTGCACTTGTATTGTCTCGGAATCGCAACTTCACTCTGAAAAGTTGTCGGCTGCTGTGGGCTGGATTCTGAACATCTTGGATTAGATCGGCTAAAGGGCATCTTCAGGGCTTTGCCGGTGACCTTGGGGCCTTCGCTCACCCGGCTGTGCAGATGGCAGCCTTGCACTCGCTATCCTCACTGCTGCACTCCACGGGTTCCAAACACACCTTTCGCGATGTCCAGTGTGGCAGCATGCGCGGAAATACCGGTTTTGCTAGAATACAGCTCAGAAACCAGAGGGTGGACGGTGTTGTAGGAAGCCATGCCTGTGGACGAGAAATGAGTCCCTTCGATCGCAACAATCCAGCAATCGAGGCAAAGGGAAAAAGGGCGAGAAGGGGCAGGATGCCCAGCCTTTTCGCCTTGTCGATTCGGCTGCCCGAGAAGTGCACATTCCCCTGCTGTCGCTCTAAGGCCCAAAGGTGAAGGTGGAAAGCCCGGCGAGGAGAGGAAGGACGGAAAGCAAAGTGAGGCAGTGACGCACATCCTGCTCAAGATCCGTAGCTGCTAGCTGTGCTACCGTGAAATCAAGTCCGCCCAGCAGGCACCGCTGGGCAAGGGACCCTCCCAGGGAGGTGCCAACAAAGGCCCGCCGGCAGCAAGGCAGCAGTTGACATCTACACAACGCGGAAAAGGCTTGTTGGAAATCGGAAAACCTCATTTCCCGAGATCACAGCTGAAGGCGACTCCAAAGGCAAAGGTGGCAAGCCTGGTGGTCGAGGCTCTCCTTGCATTTTTGAGACACGGCTATCCGTGTTCCAGATCGGTTCATGGTCATGCAAGTAGAGCCTTAGCTCACGAGTTGCGCCTTGTCTTGCCAGGGCCCGGAGGTCCACCCAGTGGCCCCGGCGGTGCAGGACGAGGACCTATGGCCTCAACGGCTTCTTACTGCAAACTCACGCATTCGCCGCTCCTGCAGAATAGCTATGTTGGACTGCACTTGTAAGAGGAATACTAGTGACAGTGATCTCAAGTGTAGAATTAGAACCGGTGCGTTGTAGCTTACCAGGCAGGAGTTGCCCGGCTGACTCTCACGAAATCAGATCTGACTCGGTTCAGCTTTGACATCGGCCTGAGAAGGGAGCACTCCTTGTGGTCCCCACTCTTGGAAGGACCCGGAGGGCCAAAAGGCGACCGACCTAAAGGCGGCCGCAAGGGAAAAGGCCGCGCCTTGTGCAAACTGAGCCCTTCTGCATAATACTAATGACTGGGCTTGGTCGGTTCATGCTGCTGTTTGTTCACACATTGCCACGCAAGGTGATGACGGAAAGAGCGGTGGAGGTGCAGCGTGTGTAGTTCGTGTTGTATGTCACGATCCCACTGATGACGGCCTGTTCACTTGTTCACCTTTTGGTCTTATGTACGACAACAGCTACTAGTTGTCTTAGCACGCCCTGCTACGGTCTCCGCTTGCAGCGGTTCGCAATGATTCACAAAGCACAGCTGCTTTCCTGCACACAGTCGCATACATCTTGGGCTTGACTGCATGCGTATGGCAGCCGCCCAGGGCTTGACACTGTGACGGCATTTCCGGCTGTCTCTAATCGTTACTGAGCGCCAGTCTGCAGACATGGTCTCCTGTTGAGGTAGAGGTGGAAAGGTCCGTGTTGCGCTTATATAACTTGCCAGGCATGCGACCGCTTGGGACTTACGGTTGCAGCGGCATGGAAAGGGATTCCCTACCGTGGCCTTGCTGGCATCGCACATCATGGGCATCGGCGGTCTTCGAGTTTGCCTTCCGTTTTAATTTCTCATACGGAACCAAAAGGCAGATATCCCCAGATCGGAAGCGCAAGTAAAATGTAGAGCTCTCGAGAGCGCTCGCACTTTGAGTTGCACCCACCGCCCCCCTTCAGGTCAATGGGTGCCAACACCAAGGCTGAGTCTGCAGTGCACTGCAGCGTGTGATTCAGCTTTCTTCCCACAGACTTTCGCACGTCGTGCCTCAGAATGTTCTTCGCTTGCAAACACGGCTCGAGTAGAAGGAGATTTGTTTCAACTCCTCGCGTGCACCTGTGGCCAATGACTCGGTGCCGTTCCGGCCTTTGCGTCAAATGCTTGGCCTTCGTTGTGGTCCTTGGGGCGGCAGCACTTTTACTGCCGCTGGTGCTGAAAACATCTGAGCCTGAAGTGGTTGATGAGGAAGGTAAGGGTGGCCCCGCACAGGGTCACCGTGGCACCTTACCAGCTTTCAAGCTTGGGCCCGTCGAAAACCTGAAGCCTTTAACTTCAAGTGAGGAGAAGACGCTGGAACAGGGAAAGCTGGTCCTTCGCCAGGAGGAAGACCCCACTCGAGGCAAAGGGCTGGCCATTAGAGATATGGCCGCCACGCCAGACGATGTGATGGAAGAACTCTTGGATTTCTCCACTTATAAGAAGAAGGTCGCCATGTGCTCCAGCAGCATCGTGTATGGACGGAAGAAGCTCCGCGGGGGCAAGGAGCAGATCAAAGTCGAGATGTCCTCCACGATCATTCCAGGCTTCTCTTTCCATTGCTACTTCGACCACACTGCCGATCGGAAAGGACATTCCATGATATGGTCCTTGGATTATGACCGACGCTCAGATGTGGACGACATCAAGGGAATGTGGTATGTGGAGCCACACCCGACAAAGGAGGGATGGTCGCGAGTGTATTACCAAATCGACATGCGTCTCAGGTACAAGATCCCCGGAGTTCTCTACAGGGCTTTGTCGTCAAGCAGTCTCAGCAATGCCGTGTCCTGGGTGAAGGACTACAGTGAGAGGCGGGCTGCCAAGCATCGGTGATATTGAGCACAGAGCTAAAGACAGCTCATGCTTATCCAGAGTTTTAGCCGTGCCTCAGAGCGAATCGAAAGGAACTGCTGCCCCCCTCTCACACGGAACTGAAGCACTGTCTCATTGACAGCTTGAGCCCTCCAAGGGCTTTGGGCACACTCCCAAGACATCGAATCGCCGGTGCAGGGTGGCGGCCGCGGCCCAGGCTTTGGAGGACCTTTCAATGTTGTCGCAGTGCCGTTGTTCCGTGAATTCCTGGAAGGAACCAGGTTCAGAAGCTAAGCTCGTGCTCGGGATGAACCCTAGAAAGCCGTGCGATCCTGCACACTTGCCGTCGTCGCAGGAGAGTAAAAGTAGAAGTGTACAGTCTTAGCGCAGTAGTCCCGGCGACATCGTAGCCCCGTGTGACGAAGAAGGTCAGGTTCAGATGCCTTCATGTGCACATCTGAATACACGAGGACGCGGTGACGGAGGCAAAGGCCGTGGTGGCAAACCGCAAATGGGAGGAATCGGAGGCCGGGCAGGAAGGGCCTTCGGGCTTGGCTTTTGGCAATGCTCGTGCCTGCAGGCGACCGCCCGGTTCCTGCTGCAGGTTCTCTGGGAGGCTATCATGGGTGCCTAAGGTGTTCCGCATTTGAATGGAATGCGCTCACCTGACACGATCTGGTATAGAAAACCATTTGCAGATGAAGTGCATACGCGCGTGTCGTTCGGAATGTCGTTGGCCAGCATGGAACAGGTACCAGGCTTTTGCAGCGTGCTGGCAGAGTTTGTAGCAACTGATATCTCAAGCACTTCGCGACTTGTGAAGGTGCTCCTGGGGCACCAGCACAGCTTGAAGCTCAATACTTCGGCAGATCACACGGAAGCAATGGCTGGCCTCTTCCAACTTCTGTGCAGTTTGCCTGGTTCTCGTAGTGAGCGCTCACCTTGCCAAGGGCAAACCGGCCCAGCCAACAGATGCCTGCGAACCCGCAGCAACCGCAGGCAACGGTAGCACGCAACACTCCACGCTCCTTGTGTTGACTCAACGGGTTCGCCTCTCGGGTTTAGATTTTCGCACTTTGCCGATCTCTGCAAGCTCCTGCAAGTGTGACTCCTTTAGAAGGGGATTTCTGACAACAGGGGTGAAGGTATTGCAACCAGGCGCATGAAGCGTGCCGGTCTTGAAGGTCCCCCAGCCACAGATTCAGCCACAGCTCGGCATGGGCGCGGCAGGCCTTGTGCCCAACAGAAACATGAAAGCACGTGCTGCTTGCATGATCAGTCCATCACGTACAACTGCATCACCGAGCATGGAGAAGCGCTTCACCGCGACCGTGCTTCTCACCAGTGTCATCAAATAGATCGAAGCAAGACCTGTTGGACATGCAAGGCCCTACATTGCGAGGTTTCGGTATCAGACACAAGCCTCCCAGGACTTGCACGGCCAGCAACGGCATGACGTCACCTGTGCGGGTATTCGGTCCAATACTAGCAGCATTGAACTTGGATACCATACATGCATCACTCAGATTCCCCAGCAGCAAAGACCCTTCATCAATTGGTATCGATCGCAGCCTGCGATCGAAACACTGCGGCTGCTCGCAAGGTGGCACAGGTTCGACAGGGCATGCAGAGTGAGCCTGCATGGAACCGGCATCGTTGAGTCGAGCTGTTGCCATACATGCAAGGAGGTGCATGGCTGTTCGTGGTGATGGCGTTCAGCGCTCTCCGACTTTCTTCGTTGGTGCCGAGACCTGCCTTCTGACAGACTGTGGCAGACTTGCCCGTGCATTGATCCGTAGTGAATCATAGCGGCTCATGTTAAAGCATGTCGTATATCATCTTCTCTGTGACTGGCTGAGATACTCTTTTTGAGGAGAAGCAGAAACGAGACTTAGATGCCTTCCAGCGACGAGAGCAGCAACTGGCCGAAGCTTACCACAAGAACAAGCCTTTATGCTTCCTGCATGCACAGACCGAGGGAGAGAGGTCGGCAAGCCTTAAGGTATGCTTGGCTAGGTGGTACAGGTTGATTGCGCAAGGTCTGCAAGTTAGTCTCACGTGGCATTTGCTGTTAAGTGATTCCTGCTGGACTGCGAGGTTTCAATTCATGTGCCTTCCAGAAGACACATCCAGTCAAAGCGAAGTCTGGACACCGAGATGCAGATGCGACGTTAGTGTCCCCAATGGTTGCCGCTTGCACGCACTGAGTGTGTCACCGGGGATCGCCGAATGCGCAAAGTTGAGTTGCGATTTGCACCCACTGCCTATAACAGCTTATATGCCTGACAGGCGTGATTGATGAGGCTAACCGCGATAGTGCCAATTCACAGGAGGGGTCTTCAACAGGTCCTGTCGGTGCAGGCGACAAAAATGTCTTTTGAAGCTCTTTACGTCTTACGTCGGGTAGTGCCTATGTACGAAGCATTGCCTGGCAACGAAATCTCCGTGACGAATCGCCTTTCTTTCAAAAGTCTGGTGAGTCCATAAGTGGTAGGAAGGCTGGTCTAAGACTCGGTTAATGGCCTTAATTGCCGGTAGTTGGGACATGTTGGGACTGCGTGGGTACTTCAAAGGGGCATGGAAAGGGCTGAGCGATGTACGGTATTGCTTCCTGTGCATCGAGGCACCCGCAAAATCCCGCAAACCCCTGCCTCCCGGACCCAAACCCGGATCGGTGCCGATGCAGGCCAGGACTTGAAGTAGTAGATGAAGTTCACAGCAAGAGCAATGTCATTGGCACCAGTATCGGCCGCAGTCGCAGTATCAATAACAGCAGCAGCAGCAGCCGCAGCAGTAGGAGCAGTAGCGGTAATTGTCGTTGTCGGCGCCGGCGGGATCGACGTCGCCGACCTCAAGGTGGTCGCAGTCGCAGACTATGTCGTCGTACGTAGTAGTTGTCGTCATCGTCATAGTAGCAGTAGTATCAGTAGAAGTAGCGGTAGAAAAGGGCAACAGCAGTGGCAGTGGCAGTAGCAACAGTGTTTGTACCGTTTTGAATTTGTTGTTAATCACGATTACTATCACTATCTGTTCTTTTGCTACTATTACTAGCATTATTATTATTATTAGTAGTAGTAGTAGTAGTACATGGTGCCGGGAATCTAGAACCACTAATGTTACCGGTCATCTTGCTATGTTGGTCATCTTGCCGCACTTGCCCCACTCGAAACCGGGGAGCGGGGGTGTGGTGCAGGTGGTAATCCTGGTCATCTTGCCCCATTGGCCACGTTGCAACATTGCATGTCAACTAGTGGATCTAGATTCCCGGCTAGTAGCAGAAGCAGAAGTAGAAGTAGAAG